GCGGATGCCGGGCCGTAGGGCTGTGCTCAGGCCCGGTAGGACTTTCTCCTAAGGGCAGTGGACCGTCATTGACAGATTTTAAGTAGGGGAGTTGGGTGCTCTTGGAGACCACTTTTGTGTTTGTTGAATGCTTGCAAACATTTACTAGGCTCGGCAGGAGGTGATGTGGTGAGTCAGAGTAGGGTGCTGCGAGGTGTAGCAGTGTTCAATTCTCAAGTGGTTTTCAGTCCCAGGTTTGTGGCTCAGTAGCCATGTCACTTTGGATGACGCACTCAAGGAAGTGAAACAATTTAAGTAATCAATTGAAGCAGTGATGTACCCAATTCCCAGGACAGCTGTGGAGATCCAGTGAGATAACTTGTGCAGAGTGTGAAGCGTGGTCCGCAGCACAGAGTCAGTGCTGAGTGAGTGCCAGTGAGTACCTGGTAGGTCAGGTGTGGGTGGTGGGGCTCGGTGACTGAGGAAATCTGGGCCCTGAAGGAGGGGTCCAGTCACATCTGTGAGTGATGGGCCTGAGCTGGGAGAGGGAGGGAGACCTTGCCCCCCGACCAGGTGCCCTGGGCAGGACAGCTATGGGAGGAGCACCGTGAAGTCAGCTCTGTGCACGTGGAGTTGGAGGTGCCCTTGAGACATCTAAGTGCAGGGTCACGAGCTCACAGAGGAGGTCTTGGCCCGGGCTGTGCATTTTCCTATAATCTAAACCCCTGAGGACGCCGAGGTATTGATCACTGAATGTGAAGACATACTTTACAGGACAAGTGATTAGTAGTATCATCTCTGTCATCAAAGCTCACGTCTCTTTATTCATCACTCACTTTGCTAATTGGGTACTTACAGAGCTCACTTCACCGTCCTCCCCTGGGCTCAGGCTCCACAGAAAAGAGCTGGTGAGTCTCCCTCTTTTCCAGAAGAGGACACATTTAGCTGGTAGCCTTCTCTACCTCTCCAGACTTAGAATTTTAATTTGTTGTTTTAATTCTATTTTCTGTTGGCCATCTCCTGACAGGAGAGACGTTTTACCTCATGGTCATGTATCAATTAGCTGTTACTGAGAATTGCTGATCTGATCCATAGTGTATGTATTCTATTAACTTTGTAGAGTACTTATCATGTTTCTGTCTTTGCCCTTAAATTTTGTTCGCCCCTTCAAGGTTCTATCCTATTTGGGGCCTTATTTTTTTTTTAATTAAAAAATGTCTGTTAGTAGTTAAGAAAACAAAAGCAAAGAAAAAATGCACATGATACCTAAATTTAGAAAATATCTATTGTGTTTTCTGTCTCG